TAGTGAGTCTGTTAGCAAATATGTACAAATTAATAAGAAATGGCAAGTCTACCACTGCAACCATTTGAAATTATCAGCCTGACGCTTCAGTGGCCCTGCCTGGGCTCCAACTGCACGTGGCCACCTCAAGTTTACAGTGAAATCTGAGTGCATACAAACATATCATGAAATGAAAACATATTTATATTATTTTTCCTAAAGGTGATATACATTTAAATACTACACCACGTGAAACTATTGTANTGCCTTAAGATCAGTTTTACACAGTTTCATGACCTGATATTATTATTGGCCTAATCCTCAGCCTCTAACAGAAATGAGTACCAAGAATTAATTAAATAATATTCCTGGGGAATAAAACGCAGCCAGCATGTAAGGCTGACAACCTTACAGCCATCTTTGAGCCGACTGTCTACATAATGTGGGACCATCAATGTTTCACAACCCTATGGGCCTTCATGGCCTCTTACAGGGATAGCTTTACTTTTTTATATAAGATTTTTAACCATTGTCCACTGTTTCTGATAAAAGTTGTTTTTAATATTTCATCCTTTACATGTCTCAGAAGGATATTATCAACACATATGGAAACTACTGTTACCATGTCATAGATATAAAAGTTATGTTTTTTTAACTAATAGTAAGATGTACATTGAGTTGTTAAAACATCTAAAATTATTACAGAAGTGTAACATCAACCAACTTGGTTCTATATTAAAACAAATACTGAACATTATTTTGTAAACAGACTAATTGTAATAATTGTTAGATGTTTTAACAAATCAATATACATCTTAATATTAGTTAAGAGACACAAAATTTATATCTATGACATGGTAACAGTAGCTTCCATGTGTGTTGATAATATCCTTCTGAAGATGGTCGTTTTGACCAAAACATGTAAAGGATGAAAATTAGAAACAACTTTTATCAATCAGACTGGACAGTGATTACAAAGCTTATATACAGTTGCGAGTGTGATGGGCCAGGATGAACCAAGTTACTTTTATAACCCATTACAAATGTTTCAATCACATATCAGTGGTGCTTTACAATGATTTGCAGTAGAGTGTACGTCTGATTCTGTTGCTTGTATAATTTTACAGCTTTTCATACTGGCCTATCACTGAACAAGGGTTTATTTCGTCTTTTGGAAGGATATAATATTGCTATTGCAATCAAGAAAGGCCAAATATAATTACTTCATGTCCAATTTAGTTCAGAGGCTGTTCATCTGGCTCAAGTCCTATAAGCAAGCAACTACTCACTAGAAATTGTACTTTTCAGCTTACAGGTGCCAACAGCTGGCACAGGAGAACCACTATACTCATTTGAATATGATATGAACTCTGTGGCCTTCCTTCCAGTACATACAGGCACTATCAGCAGCTGCAAGCTGTGTCTTACTTAAAAATAGAGATAATATTTCAGACAGTAACCTACAATAAAAATGTAAGTCCACACTAAATTTCAGAGTTGGTGCCAGCATATTTCACGAAGAATTTGCAGTTTTGTTTTCGAGATGGTTGCCCTGAAAAAGAAAGAAACAAAGAAAATGTAGTAATGCTCATGTTAAACTAGCAGATTTCACAAAAACCTCACAGCTGGTTTTCTTTTTGAAAATTAAATTTCATATTCTTCATCAAAAACAGAAATTTTTAGTAAAACTTAAGCATACCAAGAAGCAAAGTCTTATTCATCACTCTATCATTAAAATGACACTTTATGGTCTACAGTTGAGAAATTATAACAAGACAATTGACATGTTCAGTGAAAAACAAATTTTTACTTTGCAGCAGTATAATCACTAAATGACATTATCAACATTACTATATGGCGGCCCATTTACTTAGCCTTTAAGTTAAAGCTATGAATTACTGTTATTTGTAATGTCAAGATAAGACAAATTTTGAACTGAGTTGACCGGTTTCATCTAGTAATCTGTGTTCTCATGTCTAAATCTGTCAGGTAATGAACAGAATTACTTTGCCTTAGTTACAACTGGCTGTTCTTTCGAACGAACTGAATCAGTGGCAGACAAAAGCATACTCATATTTGTTTACTGTCATTAAGGACCAAAAATGGAGACTGTTTCTTTCTGTTGCTGCTGCAAGATGCTAAGCATTCCAAGTGTGTGTCTGTTGAGCTCATCTGTTTCATCAACTTGAAACAAAATAAAAAATATATGTCAAAATGAAAATTAATCTCATTGAGCCTGACACCTCAGATGGGGCACAGTCTGTTTGCCGCTAAACATGCTAAATTGTTTGCAGCACCTGTCACTGATTCCTAACAGCTGGACAAATTTTAAGTTAAGTCTGCTGCTTGAAGTCATCAATTTCTCCCAATTTCCAACCCATGGTCTGTGTCTATGTCTACTAGCCTAATGACAATTGAACATACATGCCGTGTTTTATGAGCAGGCTCCCTTTGACTTGCCACAAAGTTGCAGTATTCGCTTCTGTCCCAGGACTGAAACTACTGTGTATGTTTGTAGTCAGCAGAAAATGAATGCACGAAAAGTGTGGATGGATATCTATCAGCTATATGGAATCATGGACATGTAATGACAACTACAATTTACTTCCTTATGGAGCACCATTTACAAATAGTATCAAATTGTTTCACAGTCTCGCTTGCAGCACGTCTTTCTATAAAACCTTCTGAAAGTTATTGATTATATGTTTCAAACTATAAGGTCATCATCAGGCATTTTAAAATTTACTTACTTACTTACTTACTTACTCATGGAGCTTAGCCCTTCTTGAGGAGCCGCCAATTCTGCAGCTACTCAAGAATTTCCCAGCATTTTATCTCTCTAGAAGGTTCATAAACTTGTTCACAAGAGCCCTCCACTGGTACCTATCCTGAGCCATATCTATCCAATCCATACCATCCCATCCTATCTCTCTAAGATCCATTCTAATATTGTCCACCCACCTACGCCTTGGTCTTCCCTGTGGTCTCTTTCCTTCTGGCTTTCCCACCAATATCCTATATGCATTCGTCTCCCCCATTTGTGCTACATGACCTGCCCACCTCATTCTCTTGACTCGATCATTCTAATTATACTTGGAGAAGAGTACAAGTTATGAAGCTCCTCATTATGCAGTTTTCTCCGACCTCCTGTGACTTCATCTCTCTTTGGTCCAAATATTCTCCTTAACACCCTGTTCTCAAACACCCTCAGTCTATTTTCCTCCCTTAATGTCAGAGACCAAGTTTCACACCCATACAGAACCACAGGCAAAATTTTAGTTTTGTATATTCTAATTTTTAAGGTTTTGGACAAAAGATGAGAAGACAAAAGGTGGTGTTTTAAAATTATGAATTATAAATGAAGAAACTGCTGTGCTTCCATATTGTGGTTGTTGGTCGTTACTGTGTGGTCCCTTCAATGCACATGTATATACAAAGCGGCGGGTTACTCTGCCTGCAATGTTACACAGCATGACACAACAGGCAGAACAACTCGCCACTTCAAGGGATCGCACAGTAACTACTAACAACCACAATATAGAAGCACAATAGTTACCGTGTAGTCCCTTTTATGCACATGTATATACAAAATAGCGGGTTGCTCTGCCTGCTGTGTTACACAGCATAACACAACAAGCATAACAACCTGCCACTTCATATATACATGCACATAGAAGGGATCACACAGTAACTACCAACAACCACAATATGGAAGCACAGCAGTTTCCTCGTTTATAATTCATAACTTTAAAACACCTAATGATGACCCTATAGTCCGACACACATAGTAAATAACATTTAGCAAGTTATATAGAGGGACGTGCTACACGTGAGACTGTGAAACCATCTGCTACTAAATGAAGTGCAGCAGGGTGCTACAATATAGTACTAGTTACAAATAACAGCTCATGACAAGGTCTGGACCGATATGCACTCCTTCCTGTTCATTAAATCTTCATTCGTTTCTCTGCTTTATTTCTGCCAGGCCCCTTTCCATAAAATTTATGAGACAGGTACCTGAAATTAGAAAGAGAGACAACATTAAAGTCACTGTATTTTAGGATTTTACAGAATGTGACAATGTTTCCAAGTAACACGTATCATCCTTTCACCATGAAGTTCCAGCCAGAAAATACGGGTATGAGCCATATTTAGTTCAATCTTTTATTTTGTGAAATAATAAAAATATGTAACATTCTGTTTTCCAACACAACTTACTCATACAGCCAACAACCAAAAATGGGCATGCTACAGCACATTAAATTCATAGGGATTGAAATGATTAACGCAAAATATTTTAATAAAAGTAAAATGGGACAGTAATAATGTTGAGGCATGTTTCTTCTTAATTCATGCAACCGATCTGTAAAATGAACCGCTCTGCCACATTCTATGCCTACACAACAAACTGTATCAAGTACAAAGTATTTACACACTCAAATGTCACAATATGTTGGCTACTTAGAAACTGTTACATACAGAATGGGACAAAAGGAAGTCAAAACAACACATATATAACAAAATGTTCTACTTAAAGCATCTGAGGTGGAAGACAAAAATCTCACCACTACAATTTAACATGGGGGGGAGTATCCTTTGTATTCCCAAAGCTTTAACTCTGGTAGATGTGAAGGCATCATCTATGAGCAGAAAAATCTGTACACAGATGCGAGTGAGGATTGAACTCAGAACATTCTGAATGGGTATAACAGCTTACCCCAGGACCTTTTTCTTAAGGACCTACTTTAAGTGGCTCTAGTGTTGCTCCGAGCTCAGTTGCCATGTTAATATGGCTGCTGGTAGACAACTGAAAGAACATGGGGAGTGTCATGATGACAATACAGAGTTTCACATAAATCCATCAGCTGGTTCACACATTATGGTGAGGATGGCACACATGGATGATAAACACGATGGTCCCATAATCGTGCCTGTTTCCACTGAAAAGCTGCTTCCTCCTTGGAATTTTTCTTCTTAATATGGCAATTACTGTGGGAACTTTTTTCCACTAAACACTCCTCCTCCTCCTCCTCCTCCTCTTCCTCATCCTCTTCAGAGTCTAAAGTTGGACCACTGTAGCGCTTGTGATGCCCAAACTTTTCATCATCTCTGAAAAAATAAAGCAATGCTGTCTATTAATTCCTTGATTAGTCTTGCTTGCTTACTTCATCCTGTCTTGACAATTGTGTACACCTCCCTAATACTCAAGTGGGTCAATCCCGACAGATGAGACGAGACTTCCACTCCAGTTATAGAGATGACAAAGTATTCAAAGCTCCGATATTCTTTACCCTTCAAAATTTCCTACTCTACTCCATAATCAAAGCAAGTGGCCAATCCTTGTGCCCATGACAACTCTCTTCCCTAAGACCTGCTGCGGAGAAGACTTGACAGCTACAGGACAACTTAGGTGACTCAGTTTGCAGCCACCTGCTCATGCTGGTTCCTTGCTTGCAGATTTTTATACCCCGAAGATGGATGCGATAAACTCCTCCAAAACATACGTTTACACAATATCTACATAGCGCCACATCCAAGAAGACGGCATTCTCTATGAATGACATTCATTACATACGAAGACTCTCTACAGTACTAATATTAATCAGTAATGATTAATGTGTTTGTATTAAAACCCCTAACAAAACTGCAGTATACGATTAAATATGGTACAACATTTCTGAAATCCTTAGAATATAAATGTACAATTAAAACCAATACAAGAGTGTCAGGGTCTCTGAATTTGAATAGGCCTATGCTCTACATAAAGAATCTGCTAATGACTCACCAATCTCAATTTCATTCCAAGCTCGACGTTTGCTTTCTTCTTCCTGACATTTCTTCCTTTCAATCATTTCCCTCTCAAAGTCCTGTAAGGTAAATTTTGTACGAGATTAGCAAGATGCAAATGTGCAGCCCAAAAATTACCAATTCATTACCTTGAGATAGAACTGCTGACCCACCAACCACTGTATAAAAAATTACTGCAATCTAAAGTACTCACTACACTGTGTAGGATTTTTTGTCAGCAGTGGTTTTGAAGAGTTCTGTCATTTGAGATATAATGCCGTGTAGTCTGTCGAAAGTCAACAGACATTTTGAAGGCACATGTCACCTCCCCTGAAGAATAAAACAAGCAAGAAACCAGCACTGGCAGGTAACAAAGCCAAGCTTCCTACCTGCTTCATGCTGGCTTCTTGTTTCATTTATTCTTTGACCCTGAAGATTCAGGTAACATGTTACCCTGGAAATTTGGACGATACCCTAGAAGACAGAATTCTTCTGACTATACTGATCATCTTGAAACGTCTTTGCCAAAATATATCTTTTTAATATTACAATATGTTTTAAAGTTACAGTTCTAACAGAAACATACTCTCATTCTGCCAAGCAATGTACACCTCCCAAACTAATTCTGAGTTTGCAGTGAGAATACTGTGATGATTAACATTATGAGCCTAAGAAAACATAATTCACTCTGCAATGAATAAAATTACAAGAACTTGGTTTTTCATTTAGTCATGTTCTGAGCTATTTATTCATCACTACTTCAATTTCACATGTAATTCCTAGTAGCATCTTTTCTACCTTTGTGTCATGCACATGGCACAGGAAGAAAAAAAAATAGGATAGGAAAAAAGCCTGGATTTGAGATTCTTACGAAGAAGATTAAGAAAAACACAATTTTCTGAGAAGTAACACTCTGTAAGTCAACTGACATTCCTTCAAAATTCTTATGGACTTTACCACTTTATACAGCATTTTATTCCAGAAGACACCATTCGTCAAGAAGAAGAAAAAGGTTCTACCATTTCAACTATCACATTCTTATTGTATAATGAGTGCTTTCATTTCTAGGATTTCTGTTGGATGTTTCCAGTTCATTAATTTATATAGCCATTATCATGGAATTCAACTGTAGTTAATTGTTGTTTACAACAGTACGGATAATACTTNTCCAATCTCATTTTAGTGCCGCAGTTCAGTGGTGTGTATATGTGTGTAAACCATGTGTTTGCCTGATGACGGCTATCAACAGCCGAAACATGTAGCAGGGCCGATAATGGTCTGATATTGATATTAGTTGTGTTGTGACGGATATAATAAAGAGATTGTATATTCTAATTCTGTTGCAGCTGCAGTAAATAACTGTAGATGGGCAATGGACTGTATCCAGTCTTGACACATGCTAAATCAAAGTGCCTTGCCAAGTGTACGTTTATCTGCAGATGGTTAAATTGCACTCACAAGCAGTTCCTGAGCATTCTCATCCCTGTTGCCAGCCAGACCATAAGTGGGGATGTCACCCAATGTATGGCAGAATTCTGCTGTAGCATTCAGCACAATGGAACCACCTTCTGTGTTTCGTTCTGCGTTTCTCTCCAGTACTGACTCTGCCACCTACAAACATCACAAATCACAAACAGTTAAATTATGTAGCTATACATCATTCTGTTTTGTAGTATCCATAAATGTAAAGTTGTCCCTATGCTTAATTAGTTATGCTCTAGATGGAGGTGAGTGGCCAGCTCCATGCCACTCCCACACCCAGGGAAACAGCCCCTGGTGCCTATATGACAGGAGGCCATAACAGTCTCAATAACCAAAATACAAGAAAGGATGATAGTACAAAAAAAGTAGAGCTCTCCCTGTAACAGGCTGTGGAGGCCCACAGGGGTGCGAGACATCAAGACTCCCATACTTTCTAGACAATAACCTCACAGATGATGATGAAGTCGTCAGCCTTACACGCCGGCTGCCCTTTACCCCCCCAAGAATATTCCTGGTACTCATTTCTGTTAGAGGCTGAGTTGACCCCAGAGTCATAGTGTGATTGGAAGGATTCGGTCAATCTAAAATTCCAATTACCTAACTGGGAATCGAACCCATGACCTTTCAGTTTGTAGCACAGTAAGAAAAAATGATATTACTTAAATGTGAAGATATGAGTTACTGGTTTGAGGCCCACCACAACAAACTGTGAGAGAAACTATTTAACAGCCCTCAGGTTAAATTACAATATAGTTTCTCTAGGGTACAATGGTTTTGTACAGTAACCAAGGAGGAGACATCATAACGAACTTTACTACAAAGTTCTGTGCAACATTTTATAACTGGAACATATGGAGACACTGTGTAGGAACTAAACATGGCACAGGATTCTGTAGCTAGGGACAATTTCATCACCTCCCACCACCTATCCACAGGGCTGCTCCTCCCTTGTCTCAGGGAGAAAAAGCAGAGAGGCAGGTAAGGGGAAGATGGCCTTGACTGAACAAGAGAAATGACCCCTACTACAGCCAAACATTTGTGAGAAGGACTGACTGCCGACGTGATGTACCTTTTCTACACTGTTCTTTGATTCGGTAACAGCCTCCTGCAGCTTCAGTCTCCATGCTTTCTTGAGGGATATCTGTAGCTCCAGTTCGCTGTCATCGAGCTCAATCTTGATGTTGGACAGTATCTCTTCTGGAGCTGAAAACTGTGTCCGATTATTAATAACATTCAAAACTACTCCTGCACCACATTTCCTTTCATGATTTCACAACACACTTCGTAGCGGAAACTATATAGTATCAAATGGCTGATGATTAGTAAATAATGTATTCAAAAGTCTTGGTGCTTGTCACCTGATTAGGAATAGTAAGTCCAATCAACATTTGCCTGGTGGTACTGTGAAAAACCATGAAAAAACCTAAGTCAGATTAGCCAGATGTTCCAGCCGAGATTCATGAACAAAACAACCCAGTTCCCGTTTTTTTAGGGTTCGAACTGTGGAAGTAACATGAGTCTTTAATTACGGTACTATTGGTCGTGTTTATCTCTTCTTGTAACAGTTCAATAATTTTTTGTGCTGATCTGAGTTCCATTTTAAATTTACTGCAACAAGCACTCGTTACTTCTATTGTTTTATTACTATCTTTGATGAAACATTTTCATATCGATTAGGGTGATGATCGATGGATCGATCGCTCGGGAATTTCTTATGCAGCTCCTATAAATTTTGTAGAAACACCAAAATTATTCAAACTTATAAAATAATTAATACTCAAAAATCACACAGCTCTCGTATGCTGAGTGCCATTAAACTACAAGAACAAAAACAGAATTAATTTTGATCAAAGATAATGCAGTATTTGTTCATTTTAAACTGGATTGATAGCTCAGTCGGTACAGCGACAGGCTACATACTGCACGGAGGGGGGTGGGCATCAATTTTTTTTTTCAAAACAGTGTTGCAGAGCTACAAACATCTCCACGAATTTCTCTCCCAATTATTAAATTTCTTTCGAACATAAAAAAGGTAAACTTGTCTCGGTGCTTAATTAATTATCCACCATGCCCTGAACACAGGGGCGAATGGAATTATGGCTCCACCATTCTTGACCTCGGCATTAGATGGAGATGAGCAATCAGCTTCACGCATCAGCCGCTTTAACTCCAGGTAAAGTACTCCCGGTACCCATTGTATAGTAGGCTGGGTGAGCCACAGAGCCTGGACGGCGTGGAGTAGAGAAAAACCTCTTGCCCCATTTAATATTGTTATACAACGCTCGGATGAATATACTGAATTAAGCATCTTGGCATGATGAGAATCCTGCACTTCCTTAACACCTATGCCAACAATACTTGAGGTAAAATGGAGGTATGGCTCCATTCGCTTTACTGCAGTTGGTGAGAAGAAGGGATTAAAATAGTTGAAATGAGCGGACAGCTTCATGATCCGTCCAAACTGCAAGCATTTCTTCAGTCACACAGTGACTAAATAATACCTAAAGTCCTATCTTCTGGAATATGACGCCTTGTAGTCCATTGTGACGTTTCGGATGAACGTCTATCACACTGGATTCTTGCCTGGCATCATTGGCTATAATTTTCTTCTCGCATTTATGAATGATAATACACAGGCCTAAATAGAGAAGTTCCGCTTCAGTTTATTGGTTACCCTGCGCGACCTTTTGAATTCATTCAGGATGAAATCAATAGATGGTACAGACGGTCAGTTGGATGATGCTGCCATCTTTGGACGGAAATGTGAATTTAGTTCCTTCTGTGTTATGATCGTTGCGGTGGTCATGAGACGTTATTGCAAAGATAATTTTTTTGTTGCTGTTGTCGTCTTCGTTGTCGGCTCGCTTTAAGCGCAATTTGCAGCTTCTCTTTAGAAAATAGCAAACGACACCTGCATTCACCCTGTGCTGCAATAGTTCACCAAGCCACAATTCTTTTCGTAGGATATATTTTTGCTGCTGCTTTATGCATCCATTCTGCATATCGAAAAGCAGGCTTATGGAGGCGTATGGTTATCCAAAACGCAACGACTTGCAAAACAACAGAATGTTGTGCTATTTTATTATTTTGATCCGTGAAATACACAGTCAGATTTACGAAGTCTGCTACGCATACACAAAACCAACATTATTTGTGTTACTGATTCATGCACTAGGAGTTTTGCCTATTGTTATGATTTTCCGTATGTCCTAGACTTTCAAAGGCTGCTTGCGTCTAAACTTCCCTTTAATTTTGATTTATAATCTCGGCTAGGTACTCTTAAATTTTGCGTCCATGTCGTCAATATGGAGGGTATAAAAGCACTTTACTTCTCTCTACCCCATTTCTAAATACACAGGATGGCAGGCATCCACTTGGCCGATGTAAGAACTGTCCAATAATCGTTCCCGGTTTCATGTAAGCTAGAGGTGCTTAAACAAGCTTCTCGCCAAGATACGTGGGAAGGTATAGCTCCACACATCTTAACTCGGGATTACATAGAGGTGAGGTTTTCGTTCATAAGAAAATTTTGTTTTCGTTGATATCGCTCAGCTAAATATTTAATTGTTTGTTATCTGGAAAGATATAAGAAAAACTGTCATGTTTTCTGAAGAGTACTGGCTTCTGGGATATAACGCCGTGTAGTCTGTTGAAAGTAAACAAATACTTCAGAGGAACATATGCCCTCCACCTTCAGAGTCGAATAGACCAAACAAAATACCAGCGTGAAAGTGTGTGGAAAGCAAAATGTTCCTCCAAAACTTCTGTTGACTTTCAACGGACTATGCAGCCTTGTATACCAGAAGAAAATACTCCTCATAACCACAGGTGTGGGAACATCAGATAATATACGGTATATTTTCTCTTGGTCAATATACATTCGTACAGAACTGATCTGATTTTAAGGCTCCAGAACTGATGTAAAGAAATTTGTTGAAAGGGGAAGTCCCTGCACATTACTATGGTAATATTAACCTCGAACTGTTCATTCACCAACCATGCGGATCAATTCATCGCCACGGTTATCTTCACGTTTCTCATTTGCCGCACATCACAAGGACTTTGGAACTGTGTCCATTACACATTAAAATAGATGCTTCAGCGATGATTCTTTTCCCCCCATTTAATAAGTAAACCCATCCTAACTGTAGTAATCAACTGCCAACTCAAATGTAAGCAGGCCTATATTTTTCATGGCGTCAGAACAGATGATTTAGAAGGAGTAAACTTACTTTAATTTCAGGAACTTCATTATCAGTCTTGTTAAATTTAAAATTAATTTAATCATCTGTAACGTACAACCAGGGTCCATATTTCATTCAGTAGCACGACAACCCCAGTGTTGCATTCTAAAAGAACCAGGACAAAGATTAGAAGGTTAGAACGTTACCGCTGTACCACCACGCTTGAAGGTTGAGACATAATGCAGCCATTGTTATTCAGGAGTATCAAGAGTGTCCATGAATGAAGAAGGAACTTCTGTGCAAACGTAGTGGCATAATTTCCTGCATTAGCCGAGAGGAACTGAATAAATCCTTGATAACATCATCAGGTTATCTGGCTTGAAGAAGTCTCCAGCCGCTCTGCTTGCTTCACCACTCCTATTCGTTGCAGAAGCTGTACAGCAACCTGATATTATTAGCAGTATCCATTTACCAGCTGAACCGCTGGATCTGCAAGATACTCTTCCACTTCCCGCCACGAGATGGCAGATGTTTGCTAATAGTAAGTCATGCGTCCTGCCATTCTGTGTATTAACAAACTTAGCACGTCACACGTCACGTGTGGTGCTTAATTATGCACAAAGACAACTTTGTCTTTCTATTCGTTATTCTAAGTTCTTACAGGCCTACTACATAGTTAATTAAGCCGTGCACAGCCGTGCGTCTTAAATAAATAGTGTTCGAATGCGCGGAGAGGGGCAATGGGGGTGGAATTGGCTGATTGAGGAGGGTGAGGGTGCAATCCAATATGAGAAGGTGGCTAATGTTCGAACTTCGGCGGAATTTGCAATCGTTATTGCTGGATGTCTACCTAAATATCAGCTGGTACGCTGTCTTCTTGCTAGATACTGACAGCGTCTTTCATGTCCTTACGTTCCCTTGTTCTTGAAGCCTACATAACTTTCTTTAATTTCATACAATTTCACTCCTAATAATGATATAGGTTAGTAAGAGAAATTTTATACCAGAAGAAAAAAGTTTCTTAGTTGCTTGTTATATATTATGAGCATATTACTTTTGTGCATAATT